GCGACCAGCAGCAAGCAAGCAAGCAATGCAACAGAAAGGCTGAGAGAAGAACGAGATAGAGAGAGAGAGAGAGAGGGTGTGCCTGGTCTTACCTAACAAATGCTACTCAAAAGCGATGGACAACAGAAAGCAAAAGTAGCTTTGTTGGCGGCGGCGTCCCGAATCAGAGGCAAAGGCTGCTGCAGCTTGGAACACTGATGAGAGCCGGGCTGAGAGTCGTGGATATTAGAATTGGAAGGGAGGGTCGATGAACTGTGAACTGTGAACTGGAACTGAGCTGGCTTCCCATTCGAACTGGACGCGACCGAGTGAGAGTGTGTCCTTAGGTTCCTGGCTGTGTCGTGTCTGTCAAGTCAAGTCCTGCTCCTGCCTGCTTCTTCCAACTCTCGACAAATCAGCAGAGACTTTGGGGGGCTGTGCTGCTGCTCCATTGGTTTCATCCGCCCACCGCCAGGCAAATGTTCCCAGACGCGCTTCCCTTCCGTCTACGGACTAGCGTTGTTTGGACTCGGTGGAACCCAGAGCCCGGAGAGAACCGAAGAGCCAATGAAATGTCTTTGTTAGTGGTCAGATACCAGAGCAGTGTCTGCTGTTAACATTTTCCATCAGTGTCTTACCAAACACTACTAGATTGGTGCCCACCAAGTAACGTCCGCGTATTATTTCCCTCTTCCTCCAAAAAGTCACCTAAACCGCATCTGCTCACCTCGGGCAGAATTGCTGCTCTCACTGTACCGGATGTGAGGAATGGTGTTTACCGCTGTTGTTGTCGAGTCATCCTCCTTCCTCGTGATAGGTATCAGCGAGCATTCCGATGCCCATGTTCCCCAAGTCGTCTGCGCTTGTCCATCCCCATCTGGAGTTCACAGTCACGATGACCCTCTCCTTCTCTCTCTGTGCCGATCATCGTTCCGAGGTAGTGTCGTATGGTCTTCCTTCTCCATTCCCATGATCGAGCCTGGAGTGCCTTCCTCAAATCCCCGTCTCTTTTCAACATATTTCTCGAGCCCATAAGGCCGATAAACAAGTCACTGTTTTCTGCCTGTATGGCATATCTGCATGATCCCCGAGACCAATCCCAAGACTTCTTGAGCGTACAAAAACATATTCCAGACAACAGTTGGTGCCGCCTCTGGAACGACACATTTTGAGCGCCATGGGTTCCGCTTGTAAAGAATGCCCGCCCATATGACGATTATGAAAGATCGTTTTGCTCTGGTATGTCCTGTGCATATCCTTCAAAAGTTGATATGGCTGTCCACGGATATATTTTCTTCGACCAAGCGGTCTGCTCGGGTCGCAGGAGTACGGGAAAGAAATGAAAGCAGAAGAAGCCTGTCAGTCGAAAGAGGCGTGAATAGAGAGTAGGCAGCCAGATGCCCGGGTGCAAAGATGGAAGGCGACGAGCTACCTCGCGAAAGATGATCATGTCGTGAGGCGATAACAGCGTCTGATAGCAATGCCACATCCGAAACCTGCATCGAGTAGTTGGAAGATGGCGGGTATGTAGATAGGTGTGTAGGTGTGAGAGCGAAGGAATGGCAATGTGACAGACTCAACTCGATCCAGCGCCACGGCAGCCAACTTTAGCAAGCCGTATTACGTCGCACGTCGCTCCATCACTGCGCCTGGTTGTGCGTTTCCCTATCACCATCCGCAGGGGTGTAAGAACACGGCGTCTAGTGTAAGTGGGGAAGGCCTTGCCTTGTGCAGATAGTAGGGGAAGGTCGGGAGCGCAGAAGTCTGCATGATGTGCGAACCGAAGGAAGCAAACAAGTCGAAGAAAGGTAAAGGAGGCGAATTGCCGCATGTGGTTGTCGTCGTCGTTCGAGTAATAAATGTTGCATCTCGAGACTGCCGCCGTCGTTCGTTGTCCATGGTTAATTGCTGCAGGATGCCCCGCCAATGAAGGCCCCAAAGAAGCTAATGCGGTAGAGATGCATGCTTCCCAGTGACATGGCTCAGGTCGAAGCGGCCATCACATCCCCGTCAGAATCACCCAACATCGGCGCCAGTGATTCTCGGACAGCCCATAATGAGACTTCCATTTCTGCTGTTCGTTGGCACGTCGGCAGACACACGATAGAAACTGAAGCGTCGAAACTCTGCGGCGGTCTCCGAATTGGCATATATCAAATGGTCTAAGCCAGAAGGTTTCAAGTCTCCTTACTGGCATGGCGCCACGGTAAGGGTAGGTCGCAGTAGCAGTGGCAGTAGCAGAAGGCTGTAGCGACAGCGGTAGCGGTAGGGTCCAGGCTGCTCTCAGGGTTGTTTCGTCATTTCTTTGGCGGGATCCCATGTCTGGCGCAGTTTGGCCTGGCCCGGTGCCGGCCCCGTCACGGTCATGGCCCGCATGGCTAGTCCTAGAAGGCTTTCTACTCGTGCCTGCGCTCGATAGTTTGCTGTTGCTGGGTCGCAGTGATGCTTGGGAGGTTTTTTTCGGGTCGATTGGGCTTGAACTTGTCCGGTTTTTCTGGCCACTTTTGGGTCCTTGTTCTTGACTGCCGGTCAAACATGAAGAGGGACGAAGGCTGCGGCACTGAATGAAGCCTGAAGGCCTGGCCATTCATGGTAGTCGCTGGGTTGGAGATTCTCGCCCACTGGGTCCAGATACGGCCAAGCACCCTGGTCGACCCCGTCCGTCGAGTGGCCCCAGACAGGCCATGACTGTTTCGACCCTTTGTGGGAGGGAGTCTGCCCTCAGCGTCCTCTGCTGAATCGACGTGTTCCTGGCGAAAGCGAGGCTTGACCGAATTTCTCTCACTCCATCGACTTTGGTTTTTTTTTTTTTTTTTTTGGCGACGGTCGTCTTTTTTCGAGGTCGAATGATCCGTTGTTGTTGTTTCCGGGTCCAGCTGGTAGAACTTACAAGGTCCTGACGGTGGGAAAACGGTGGTGAGGCCTTGGGAGGGGCTACCGTTTCCAGATCAGCAGACGCCGGTGTCAACGGCCCGTAAAAGAGCGACAGCGCAGACTGGAGAGAATTGCAATAATTTTGCAACGACGAGGAAGAGCAGGAAAGGAAAGCAGCAGAGAAGTGAGGGAATGGTCAGAAAAGAGGAGGAAAGGGAACGGGGGCAGGTTGGGCGATTTATGTGAATTAGAGTACATGGCGGATGTACCTCCGTGCTGGTACTGGTGCTGGTGTCGGTCCTGCGCTCCTCCCAGTTCGGACCCATTACCTTTACAGTGCCTGCCCGTCCCTGCTCGACGGTGTCGGACAAGTGCAAAACGGTAGCTAACCCCTCCGATGAGCTGGGCACTTCCTGCCTTCCTAACCTTTGATTCCATATTTACTCCGTCCGGCGGGTGATTCTCCCAATGTCTTCGCTTTCGTGCCATCCTGTCCCTTGTTTAAGGTAACTCATGGAAAGAAGGAGCAAAGTTGGGCTGAGGAAGTTGCAGCCACCCATGTGTCATGCGGGTGCTGGTGGGAACGAGGAAGGAACGTTTGTGACCCGATTGAAAGGCGAGGAAGGTACCTGCCCACCCGACCTTCTGAGGAAAGTTGGCTGCCAGGTGAAGCAGGTGCGGGTGGTCAACGTACCTCAGTTGCTTCCTTACCTCAGATACATTAAGGTAGAATGAGCAGGAAGATAAAGCAGGAAATACCAGGCCACTTCAAGGTGAGATCTGGTATTGCAACGAGAGGAAAGAAAACCCTTTCGTGACTGCCTACCCAGCTGCGTGCTTTCTGTGGGAATGGAGCTGACGTCGGGGCGGGCTTTGGGGGGAGCGAGGGGGTAGGGAAGCCTCGGAAATCAGCCATCATCACCTCCCGTCCTCCCCCATTCTGATAGACGCCTCATTTAGACCGTGTCAGTAAGGTACTGAGTAGAAATGGTCGGGGTATTTCACTTGTACGCACCCGTCAATGGTTTCTGCTTCTTTTCAGCCGTCTGTTCCCCTCTCCTCCCATCATACACCTTGCTCACGCCATCTCAATCATCCCACCGGATTTCTCGTCTTTCTTCACGTCGGATGTGTGCTCCTACAAATACCTTACGTTCAGGCACCTACTTTCAACAGCAAGAAGATCCTCCATCCAGCAGTAATTGAGGACCAGCTCTGCATATCCACGTGTGCCCCCTTTTTCTCCGATTCACGTTATTGCGAGAGACACGCCCTGTCGAATAGCAAAATGCAAATTCCTGCCTCATCTCATCTCATCTCATCGCTTGCTCCGGCCTTTCTTCCCCGCCGTTCCTCAATCTCGCGCCCTTTCTACCTTAACCCACAGTCCAATCCAATCCAATCTAAACCCAGTTCAAACGCACGGCTTCGTCTTTCCCTTTGGCCTTTGGCCTTTGCCTTTGCCACGCTGGCTGTGTGGTCAAGTAGCTGGTTGGTTGGCTGCTAGGCCCGGCCTGGCGCATCTTGTCTCTGCCACGCCGCTCATCAAGGATGGTAGCTTCGGATCCTCTTCTCGTCTCTACGCAGTATTTTTCAATAACCTTTTGTTCCCTTTTTCCTGTCTCATTGCGGCCAAACATGGAATGGATGTGCTGCTCCGCGCGAGGGCACCTTCATCTGCCTGGATTCCCATGGCTTGAACCCTCCTCGGCTATCTTTCCTGTTTGTGTTGCCGTGCCTCAGTGCCTCAGGGTAACCGTAGCTAAGGTAGGTATTGGATGGGGATGGAGGTCCAAAGTAGTCTCCATTCATGGATGTCACCAAGCCCAGCATCGGCCCCATCCGGGAGATGATGGGACGAGAGACGAGACGTGGATGCGCACACTGCACTGCACTGCACTGCACTAACCACACGAGATAGAAAACCACCATCAGCGCTTGCTTCACATCACCTCCAGCTTTGCTCGATCTTGACAAATCCCTGTCAGCTGTGCCTCTACTCGATCTTGTACAGTCTCCATCAGGAAGAAGAACTTTCAAGCATCGATTCCCACCTCAGCCGGCGCCATTGCTACTTTATTTCGCTCGCATCACTTTGCCCTTCGCTTCACCGCTCGAACCGATTCAGACTCATACCTCGACGGTTCCTATGTTTCTCCACTCTTGGGCACCCTTGTTGTTGTGGCCAAGCACCCAAGATGCCGGACCGCATGGATGGCCCGCCATTCACATTTACGAATACAAAAGCGTCCCTCCATCCTCGCCAAACCCCCCTCACCAACCCTGAGGCAGTCAATGCCAAAGTTCAGGGACTGCTTAGGTAGAACGTCGCGGGCATTGAGATAGCTTCTCGTTTCGCTCCCATTACAATGCAAGGAAAGCTCCAAGCTTTTGAGCACATCCTGAAACAAATCACCGCCATCACGGGCGTGAGCGTTTCCTGGTGGGTGCAGATCTGCCCAAGAAAAGGCGCACCATCCAACCATCCATCATCATCCCTTCCGAGACCCAAATCTGACCAGCAAACGCCAAAGCTTTAACGCCCGCCAGCCTTGATCTCGGCCCACCTCCCCTCACACCCGACATGGCGAAATCTTATGGAAATCTCATGATTTGTAGTGATTCAGTTCCATATGAGTGTGAGCGTACAGGCTTGCCGCTCTCCGATATAACGAAGCAAGCATCCGTAGCAAGACTACATAAAAAAAAGAACTGACTGGGAGGCCTGCCTTTCTCATGGAGCGCGAGCAACAAAGTATCCCTTCTCTCTCAGCAGGTTGTGCTCAGTATTGGAGCACGGTATTGGTGCGAGATCTCAAATTGTCTTCCCCTTAACAGTCAGGATAATGGTACAAGACCATTAGAAAATGAGTTTCTGGCAACACTTGCATACATGGTATGTACCACAGGGCGATGAGCAGAGTTCGTCGAGTCCTGTTCTCCTCTGCTATCCACGGATAGTCCAGACTCCAGCATCCCTCCCCGCCATCTCACCCCCCCTTGTGCTACCGTCCCTTTCCCAGCCCTGCACATCCGCTCTGTGACCAATCTGCACTGAGCTGGTTCAAACGGAACTTGTCTAGCGTAAACGTCGGCTCCACTACTTCTGTGGGGCACAGACCTTCGACGGCGCCGCCAACCTGGATGCCCGATGTTTGTTGTTGGTTCTGCTGCTCCAGGTCATCCCGATACCCTTTTATCCTGTAGATGATTGCTATTATGTTATGAGAGACAACAAGTAGGGAAAGCATTGATGTCCATCTCGATCATTGCGTCCACAGCTCGTGTTACTTACAACTGCGGCGTAAAAGAGTACCGAAGCAAGTGTCTGATCTAGGCCTCTTGTTTGAACATACCTTGAAACTTGAAAGTGATATCTGAATTGATTGGCCTTGCGTCTAACATTGTCAAATAGGAATGAATTATCTTGCCCATAGTTTCACGAGTTGCAAATCGATGTTGTTGATAATCCACTGCAGGAACAAATCTCACTACAAATAAGTGAGTCGAATTCAGCTTCGCGATACACTGCAATGAGAGTCTCGTGTCGTGCCTTTTCGATGTGTTGCGCATCTATCGACTGAGACGTGCCCATGAGCCTTGTCTTTCCTGTGCGTAAGGTTGTGAAGAGCGATACTTTTCACCTTGATTGGAGCCCCGTGGGACGCAAGCCTAGAGACGCAATGGGAAACGCAATTGAGGTCATCGTGGGATCGAGCTCATGATGAATTCCAACTACTGGATGATAATATGGTGTACTTACATTCCAATTCCATGAGGTCAAGCCCTCGATAGACTCCGTACATGAAGTGGAGTCCACGGGTTGTCTGTCGCGTTTCTCATGTGCGCGAACCTGTGTTGCCATTCTCATCTGGTTTTGGAACCAATTTCAAAGACAGAAAGAAATTCAGCAGAGAGGGTGTGCTTAAGCAAAAGACGATTTGATGCCCTAGAATATGATAAGGATAATGTAGGAACCATCTTTGAGCGCTTGAACCGAAGGCTGCTTCTTGTTGAGGCTTTATGCCTTCACGACCAACTTACATGCTGCCCTCGAGACGGGAGTTCGGTGAGAGAAGATGTCACCACGGTGAGCATGGCACGTGAACAAGCCTCATTTCTCATCAAGGTGTGGCTCAAATCCACTTTACACGACTCACGGACCACCTCCCCCCGCTGTTGCTCGTTGCCCTCCGCTGTGGCAGGACCCCGGTCCCCTGAGGACTTGAGTCCCGAAGGGCGTAGGCAGGCACGCCGCACGCAGAAAAGACCGGGCGGGCAGGCTCAGAGGCTGCACCGGCCGTCATGCGTTATCGATAACCAAAAATTTCTTTACTTCCGACCGCGTCGCGTCCCGCACTTGACTCTTGACTCTCTTTCTTCCCTCCCCTCCATTCTGCCAAACAAGAGTTGATCGCCACCAGACAGCCTCGCCCCCCATCTTGAACGTATACGATACCCTTCTTACGAACGATTTTTGTTGTCCTGTCGCAAAAAAAATCAGCCATCATGCGTTACGTTCTCGTCTCAGGCGGTGTCATCTCTGGAGTGGGCAAGGGCATCATCGCCTCTTCCACGGGTCTGGTGTGTATCCGAATCCCTGTTGAAATTTCCTTATCTACGGGCTGTGACTTCACACTCTGAGACCACACTTTGAGAGCTTTGCCACACCAAGCCATTGGGGATAGCGGGGTGTTTTCTTCATGGGATCTCACAGCCATATCATGCATGCATGCAATGCAGCCAGCCTCGAATGATGCATCATTGCTAACGGTTGGGGTTTCCATGAACAGCTCCTCAAGACCTTGGGACTGCGCGTCACTAGCATCAAGATCGACCCGTACCTGTCGGTGAGTGAAACCTCCCCTGAACCCCTCTCTTGACCGTGTGTCCCAGTAACTGACGATGACATACAGGTCGATGCTGGTCTTATGGCTCCCGCCGAGCACGGCGAATGCTTTGTGGTTCGTATTCCTTGAACCCTGGAGTGCCATTCCTGGTCCGGGGCATAGGGACTAGTGTCTCTATCCAAGCCACACCTAAGATGATGAGGTGTTGGTAATTCTCGGAGCAGTCTGTAATGTTTTGATTTGACGGTAATCGCTGACCATCATCAGTTGCACGATGGCATGGAGGTAGATCTCGGTAGGTGAACCTTTGGACGACATCTGGCCCATGGATCCCTCCCCCTTTTCTCCCCCGGGGGAGAAGCTATTGCCATTCTTATCAATCGCAAATCTCTGACAACGAGGCTCGCACACAGACCTGGGCAACTACGAGCGCTACCTCAACATCCGTCTGACGGGCGAGCACAACATTACCACCGGCAAGGTCTACAGGCATGTCATTGACAAGGAGCGCCGCGGCGATTACCTTGGAAAGACGGTTCAGGTGTACGTTTGGCCTCCACAGGTTTACCTACATCTTTCAATTTGCTGACAGATGCCAGCGTGCCTCACGTCACCGATGCGATCCAGGACTGGATCGAGCGTGTTGCCAAGATCCCCACAGACGACTCCGGCGAGGAGCCCGATGTCTGCATTATCGAGCTTGGGTAGGTTTCCAGCTGGCCCCCTCTCCAACATATAACCATATACCTACAAACCGGTTCTTCGATTCGAGATCGCGTCTTCACGAATATCAGTCGGTTCAGATGCTAACATGCTACTACAGAGGCACAGTCGGTGATATCGAAAGCGTACGTTACTCTGGAGACGTGCTAGACGAAGAGGTCGTGCTTTTTGAAGCATTTAAAGCATACTAACACCACATCTAGATGCCCTACGTCGAGGCATTGACTCAATGTTTGTGCTACAAACTCTCCCGGCTGGTTCGACTGCTGACCTCTCATAGTGCGCCACAGAGCCGGAAGCGGCAACTTCATTCAGATCCACGTCTCCTACGTGCCCACCATCCACGGCGAGCAGAAGACGAAGCCCACACAGCATGCCGTGAAGACGGTTCGCAGTTACGGCCTGGTTCCTGATATGGTAGGAATGGTTGTTTCTGATGGTTCGTCCCACTGCTAACGACTGCCCAGATCGCCTGCCGCTGCGAGCAGCCCCTTGAGGAGGCTACGGTGAGAAAGATTGCCCTTCTTTGCCAGGTCGACGTCCCTCAGGTCCTCGTCGTTCGCGACATGCCCACCATCTACCAAGTTCCTCTCCTCTTGGAGGAGCAGAACCTTATCCCCTGGCTGCGCAAGGCCGTCAACTTGGACGCTCTGTCCATCCCTCAGTCTCGCATCGCCGAGGGAGCGGCACTATGGAAGACATGGGCTTCCGTCGTCAGCCGCCCGTACGACGGTGAGATCAACATCGCCCTTGTCGGCAAGTACGTCAAGTCTCAGGACGCCTATCTGTCCGTTGTCAAGGCTCTGGAGCACTCGGCGATGCACCTGCGCAAGAAGCTCAACATCTGCTGGGTTGATGCCGAGCATCTCGAGATCCAGGCCAAGTCCGCGGATCAGGCCCAGTACCACAAGGCATGGCACGATGTCTGCACCGCCTCCGGTATCATTGTCCCCGGTGGCTTCGGTACCAGAGGTACCGAGGGTATGATGAAGGTTTCCAAGTGGGCGCGTGAGAACGGTACCCCGTTCCTCGGTGTCTGCCTTGGTTTCCAAACTGCCATCATCCAGTACGCCCGCGACTTCCTCAATATCGCTGACGCCACCTCGGAGGAATTTGATGCCCAGGCCGAGAACAAGGTCGTCATCTACATGCCCGAGATCAGCCGAGACAAGCTCGGCGGTACCATGCGCCTCGGCTTGCGCCCGACCGAGTTCCAGCCCGGCAGCGAGTGGTCTAAGCTGCGCGCCCTGTACGGCGAGGCCGACTCGGTGGAGGAGAGACACCGCCACCGTTACGAGGCCAACCCGGCTTACGTCGAGAAGCTCTCCGAGGCCGGCTTGAACTTCATCGGCAAGGACGACACTGGTGAGCGCATGGAGATCTTTGAGCTCCAGAACCACCCCTATTTCGTTGGAACCCAATTCCACGCAGAGTACCAGTCCAAGGTCCTCAACCCTAGCGTACGTTTGCCCACCCATATCCCCTTCCCTCGCGTGATACTGACAAGCAGGACAGAGACCCTACCTCGGCTTCGTTGCCGCCAGCGCGGGCTGCCTCGACCGCGTGGTCAAGGAGGAGCTCGCCGCTTCCAAGCAGGCCAACGGCGTCAAGCACGTCGTTTAAGAATCTGTTATCCATTTCGCATTTTTTCTTCCAGCATTTCTGAAAAGACGGGATACACGACAAAGAATGTTTATCTCAAAGTAGACATGACATGGGCAGGCAAGGCATCCGAGAAGGCAGTTGGGATTGTTTTCTTTTTCTTTACTCAAATCACTAGAGATTATATTGGGCTATCCAGAAATGAACCAACCAAGACAACTCATGAATGAACGCGCGTCTGATTAGATGGGGAACTTATCTTGGGGGCAAGGCGGATGGCATTCTCGGCGGCGCGGGCGTTTTCTTGTTTTAAAATAGGATAAAATCTGCATGTTAGATCATCCTGGGTTACAAATATAGGGGGAATTGCTCTCATTTTCAATCTTGACTGCACAATGCTGCAACTTTTCCAAACGTGCACAGCAACGATGACCGGCCTGCTTGGCCTTTCTCCATTCACCATAGGTTCTCCTTAGTGCAATGTTCCTGTGCTTTGGATTCCCCTTGGCGGATAGGGATAAGGTAGACTTTGAGTGCCTACAAAAAGATGGGTTCACGAGAATCATGCCAATGCATCTGCCGAAGCACGGAAAAGCTGCCAGCTGCGAAGCATACTCCAACGGACGTATTTCCCGCCAATGAAGGTCTGGCGGTTATGTTCATTGAACTTGCTTGTTTGGAACCCTAGGATATGAATGCATCTCACACTGGTCAGCTGCGCACGTGGACATATCGGAGCCATGTCACCATCTTGGTTTGTTATAGGGTTAGAGCGAGATGCGGTGATATGAGCTGCCGTCTTGGCGTAAACATGGGATTTCTCGTACGTCTTGTATCTTGTCGTTGGTTCGTCTGGATCGTCACCCCGCAGTGAGAGTGAGGGGTGCATGCGGCGACATGGGGATGTTTTCGGGGTGAGGGATGAAGCAGGGGGTGGTTGTCATATCGCTCCAAGTCTATCGGTTGGACTGCCCGGTATCTCCAGATGGTCATCCTGGGAGGGCAAGGTCCGGGGAAATGCCGTCTGTGCGAATGGTTGGGAGCCTGACCGTAGTAGATGTCGAGCCTCTAATATAAAGTTGATGATGAGGGCGTCTTGCTCACCACCGTACCTAGCCTGAGCAGCCACCGCCGCAAGATCGAGCCTCTCTATTACAGATAGCTTTTCATGCAGGAAAGAAACACCAGACATGGAGAAGCAGAATGAAGCTACAGGCCACCGCGTCGAGGCGACGACCTCCGCCTTGGACGACGAGAAGAACAACGCCCTCGCACACCGCCACGCGAAGGAAGTCAATGTCCAGTCCGTCGCCCTCGCCGACGCTATTGCCAAAGACAAACCCGACTACAAGTCCAAGTCGCAGATGACGCTCTACGCGATGATGTGTCTCTGCGTTCTGAGTACGTCTCTCAAGCCCCATCCAAACCTCCCTTTCCATAAGACGTGATGACTTTGTAAAAAGATCAAAGACACCCCTTAGCTGACAATCTCCAACTCCACAAAAGACGGCATCATGAACGGCTACGACGGCTCCGTAATGTCCGCCATCAACGCAATGGACCCCTTTCAAGCCCGTTTCCGCATCGGCCTCACGGGCGAGCTCAACGGCGCCGTCTTCTCCATCTACACCGTCGGCAGCATCATCGGCAGCCTGCTGTGCGGGTACATCATGGACCGCTGGGGCCGCCGCGCCTGCATGTTCTCCGGCGCGTCCATGATCGTGCTGGGCTCCGTGCTGCAGGCGAGCAGCTTCCGGCTGCCGCAGTTCTTTATAGGCAGGTTTATCGTCGGTACGGGGACGCCCATGTGCGGGACGTCGGCGCCTGTGTTCTTGGTGGAGATTGCGTATCCTACGTGGAGGGGGTTGGCTGGGGGGTTGTATAATGTTTTGGGGTGGTATATTGGTGCCAATAGTGAGTCTTCCTTTTTTGTCTTTTGGTTTGCTTTCACTTGGATGGATGTCCTTGATGGGAAGCTGACTGTGAGTAAGTGGCCGCGTGGACATGCTACGGCACAAACTTCATCCCCAGCGACTGGGCGTGGCGCATCCCCTACATCGTCCAGCTCGTCCCGGCCACCATTGTCATCTCGGTCGTCTGGTTCCTGCCGGAGAGCCCGCGCTGGCTCTGGTCGCAAGGCCATACGGACCGCGCGGCGGCGATTCTGACAAAGTATCACGGCGACGGGAACCCGCACTCGGCGCTCGTCAAGCTCGAGCTCGACGAGATACGGACGTCGCTGGAGGCCGAGCAGGAGCTGAGGAATAATAACTGGAACTATAAGATTCTCGTCAACAATCGGCCGAACCGGTACCGCATGTGGCTCATCATGCTTGTTGCCGTGTTTTCACAGTTTATTGGGGGATCGGTGATTTCGTACTATTTACCTGCGTGAGTAACACATATCCAGCACGAAGCAGAAAGATACATGTACTGATTGTGGATTTCTTCAGTATGGTGCGCGGGGTTGGCATCACGGACTCGAGCCGACAACTCCTTCTCAACGGGATCAACACCGTCATATCCTTCGTCAGCGGCATCTTCGGCTCCTTCTTCGTCGACAAGGTCGGTCGCAGACCGCTGTTCCTCTGGGGCACCCTGCTCACGGGGCTCGTCTACATCCCCATCAACGTCCTCGCCGCGAAAGCAGAGCACCACCTAGACGAAGGCACCGCGGTCCCCAAGCCGCAGGCCTACGCCTTCATCGCCATGATCTTTTCGTACGGTATCTTTTGGGGCTTCTGCTGGACGCCACTGCAGGCGCTGTACCCCGCCGAAATATTGAACAACGAGATCCGAGCCAAGGGGATGGGCGCCAAGGGGTTCATCTCTGGCGTTGCGAGCTTTATCAATACGTACGGGACGTCTGTGTCGATTAAGCATATCGGGTGGAAGACGTATACTATCTTCTTGGTGTTGCATTTTGTGCATCTCGGGTTGATGTACGTGTCTTGCGTTGAGACCAAGGAGAGGACGTTGGAGGAGCTGGAGGAGATTTTCAGTGATGCGAAGCCGGTGAAGAGGAGTTTGCAGAAGACTACTGTTGTTGTTGATCGTGGGTTGGGAGTCAAGATCAAGGACGATGCTTGAGTGCCGGGTTTCCTTTTTGGACTACCTGAAGATCGGTACCCTAGCTTGGGATGAACCATTGCTAGGACTATCCGCTCAGGACAAAAACCCGAGGGGTGTCATGACTTCTTGTTATGGAGCGTTAGTTGAGAAGTGAGGAAGGACCGACCTGATGGTCTGAAGACTAAAACTTGGAAAAAGAGTTAACAAGACCGGACCGATCGAGGGTTGAACATGGATCCCGGAATAGACCGGAGACTTCACGGTCTGGTCGGGGCCTCTACAGCCCAGAGCCCCTCGACCATGCGGCCCGATCTTGTTGAGAATCAGAGATGATTCACTTCTCATAAGGGTTGGCGACGTTGAATGAGGAAGTTATACCTCAGGCAGCTTCCGCCATCTGCGTATTCATCTCATGTATATTCAAGAAATCACAAGATCACAAGAAGCGGAAATCATTGAGGAGGCTCATATGATAGCTCTTCTCCGCTTCATCCAGTGATTCATGAGACATCTCAACGCAGTATCCTATATGTAGTCACACGACTCGAGCCTTTTCATCCATAACCATACACCAGAGACGAGAAGGCGCGGTGTGTCACCTTCTTTCCCTCCTCTATGCTCTTGCATTCAAGAGCGGCATACTAAGGATATTTAACTACCCGCGTTGGTGATCATCATGGCCACTTCTTCCCAAAAGCCGATTCTATTCCTAAGGGACCAGTTAAGGCGCGGCATTGACAAAGACCACGAGACTCTCAGTGTTGAAGGGCTTCGTTATTAAAGGCTGGGCATGTCGAGTGGCAGAAAGAGTTTGAAAAACATTGGAAGCAATAACTTTCACTAAGAACCCCCCTGATTCGATTTTGTAAAACGGTGGCCCGCCCCAGCCCATCTGCGCTTGACGAAATGGGTCGTAGGGGCACGCGACTTGGAGGGCGAATTCGACAGCTGACAGCCTTACGCGCAGGATCTATGTAAGCGTCTTTACAACTCTCAGAGAGCCTTCCGAACTCGGTGTGAGCTTGTTCATCCGGTCGTAGACTTGAGATGCGTTCTTCATCGTCAAACGAAGAAGGAACAGGGCTGAATTGTGGATTTACGGCCTTGGCTGCTCGGTCTCTGTGTGAGACTGGGTTTCGGGAATCGGAAACAACTCTTAGACCATCTTATATCTGATGGGACAAGGGGATTTAGAACTCTCCAGATCATAGGCAGAGATAAACTGGAAGGCCATGGCTTAAGTCCGGGCAGGTCTTGTGCTGGAGTCGTCTCAGACTCTGAGATTGGTTGTGCCTGGTAATAAAGCAACCTTTTGACTTGTCCCATAGCTTCAGATTTCCCCACGTGGCGCTGCGTATAGACTCAGTTCTCAATGGGTAATATTCGCCGACGTGTGGTTCCCCGAGGCTGGTGTTTAGGAAATTGCCATGAATCGTAGTCGCTCGGTACTCGGTTGCCAAAAAAGGCGAAAGTGGTGGATGTTAAGCTTCGACCTGATGCAGCGATAATTTCGTATTAATCAGTGACATGTCACGTATGCGGATTTCTCGGATAGCGGCATCCCACACCATGAACGGTATCCCGCAATATACTGTGAGATGAAAGCTTATTGCGGAGGGATTGATAGTTCATGAACAGTCTGAGCTCCATTTCCTATCCTGGTCATGATATCCATGAAGAAATTGAGGACATGTATAGGAGAGAAATGACCAGAAGAGACTCTCGGGTATTTAATAAGAAGACCAGTTTCCTGGCTTTTGTACACCTTACAACACCTTACAACACCTAGCTCTTGCCGCTTCTCAAATCACGTCCTTCAAGACTAACCTGCGGTCGCCGCTTTTCGAACCAGAGCTCCATCAGCCCCGAAACAAAATGCAATTCTCTTCAATCTTGGCGACTCTGGCGCTAGTCACAGCTGCCACAGCTATCCCCGCAAACGATGGTTGCCGCATGACGGAGGGCTTCAAGACCACCTGCGTCATGTCAAATAACCGCATGGCCTGCGACTGGCCGGCGTCATGCCCGGTTGGCCAGAGGGTCAAGTTCGTCGACAACGCGCCGCAGTGCAAGGGTAAGGATTGGGGTACGCCTTGCACCGGATACTGGAAGTGTTGCCCTCGGTAAATGTCTTTGTTGGACTGAAGTTGGGAAGAGTGAAAGGTAATTCTCAAAAAGAGAAACTTTGCGTGTGTACTTTTGCAACGCCCGACTAACAATCAGCCTAGGATACCCTGCATATATGAGGATTTGGTGTCTGAGGTTCTGTGAATATAGATCCGGGCCTTCAGTGGGAGAAGTTGATGCTGGCTTAGCCACCAATGCATTGAGTCAACAGGGGCTGTTGTCCATAAGCTATCACAAAGAAAGATGTTTATATCGTGTGAGCCCTAGTTTCTGCCGTAGTGTTTCAAGTCTACGAAGGTACAAGGGAACGATGGAAATTGTCGTCAAATATGAAATCTGCAAATTTCTACCAAGAAAGATATTGATATCCCTGAAGTTTGCTGACTTAGAGCCAACTGTGAGACTTTAAGGTACGTCGTTGCTGAAATATTTTGCTAAGAAAACTCCGTTGCAACCTTTCACTTGCTATCATCACCATTTTCCAGCCGAAACGTCACACCTCAGTGGCTATGATGGAGAGTGTGTCAACTATTATGGAATTCGAAAGACTTCATTTACCATTAAGACGCGCTAGGATAGGTGGCAAAGAAAATTAGCTTGTATGGGTTGATATTATGTTGCTATGCTGAGCTGCCACTCGTACCGAACAGCCCCCAATTCTCTCCGAGGCGAGGGGCTGGTATGACGCACGAATCTCAAGCTCAATCAGTTACCCGAGATGCTGACGATGGTAAACCGTGGTGTTGTCGATGCGCCACGCGACCGAGGCGCGTAAAACAAGCGACATTGTCCTTGATGCCTAGGTATCTTCGCTGACAAGCAAATTGAGGTCTTGTCCAGGGCTGCGGCAATGAGAATCGATCACGAGGAATTACGGGGTCTCTCCCTCCTCAAGTTCTCCAACTGTAGAGCCCACTCAGGTGCATTTTCTTAACATAATCGTCTTCGTATGATCCGGTTCGATCTGTCGCCTCTCACGATATTCTTATACCGCTCCATGACACCTTCTGGCATTCGAATGTCGTATTCCAAAAGAAGTCTTGCAATGAGCATCTTAATCTCTGTAGCAGCAAAAAAGCGGCCTGGACACGCGTGGCGGCCAAAGCCAAAGGCCATGTTCTCCTTGGTCGATGACACGAATTGATACTGTTCCTTGTTTGCATACTGTAACGGATCGCTGCGGGCCTCGCTGCGGATGGACACGAAGCGGTAGGGATCGACTTGGGCTGATTCAGTGTAGTAAAGATTGTCTTGTAGTGGGCCGACCATGGGCACCGCGATGTTGGTGCCAGGTAGGAGCTGAGTGCCATCTTTAAGCGTCACTGGTTTTGTGATAGTTCGCATGAAGCTGATTAAGCTGGCGGGATTGAAACGTTAGGACTCGCGTAAGACTGAGTCGAGCAGCTTCATCTGGAAGAGGGCGCTAGTTGACCATTCGTTCTCATTGGCGGCTAGAACAGATTGGACCTCTTTTCGGAGAGCGGGAATGACATCGGGACATCGTGCAGCAATGTCATACAACCTTTTGTCCGGTCAGTCTGATGAGCTACGTCACCTCCTCGAACATTTCATGGCCTGGGGTGACCTACGTATGCGTGGCTGCCGTTGTGGTGGTGTGGATAGCAACGGCGCTCATGCTGAGCTGCGTTTCGGCGAGCTGCTCATTCTTGCCCATGCCAAACTTGCTAGATTTGACAATGAACCATTGCAGCATGTCCTCTGGTACCTCGGTAACTTCTTTGTGCAATCTTTTGCGTGCTTCAATGACTAGGATCAGGACTTGGGCAGCGCGGCGTCTGTGTTCAGCCAACTTCTTAATCTCAGGGACATATTGTTTGCCGATGAAGCGCAAGAACTTTGGCTACCTCTTTATCTTGGCCACTGCCTGGAAGAGGTCGACGACAAACATAGTGCTGGCCTCTAGATACTCTTCTTTGCGGCAAAGCTCGGGGCCAATGAAGACGCGGCCGGAGATGACAGCTACCATTTTAGTAGTTTCTCATAGAGTACTACCTCCTTCCATTCAGGACAGGGACCGATGTTGTCCAACACGGTGAGTTCGATATGGCTTGATAGCGTGACGGAGATCTTGCTGAGACTCGGCGTAAGGTTTGATTTGATCATGTTAAGTAAAAGGGGGTTGATTGGATGGTAATCCGTCCATCTGGTCTCGCAAAGCTAAGGCAGCATCAGCATCAACTCTGTAGAGTACCGAGAGAAAATTCACGAACGGCTTCCAAGAGAGGAACGTTGTTGACAGTGTCATTCGGCATCGTCCGAAGATCGTCGCAATGTTGAAGCGGAATCATTACGATATCGCCTGTCATGGTGTGAGCTGCCTTAGCAGGCCTGGCGGCCGCGAGTATTCTTCGGGAATACCAAAACGTCACTACCTAATCGCGTGGCAGTCATGTCGTGACGGGCGGATAAGGTCAATCTAACTATCTCACCGCCGAGAGAATGCTCAAAACTATAGGATTGAGAGCTGATCATGCTGGCGGTGTGCGTTACGATCTACGCAAGATTTCCAGCGGTGCCATTCACTCAATCGTGTACCTTGCCACACTATCATGATGAAGGTGTCACCGTGCTCTGGCTTTTCCACTTTGACGAGGAAAGTAGCAAGGCAGTCGACTTTTGAGAAAGTTGAAGCTTCGTCATCACTAACATCTTCAATCTGCTCGGAGCCGTCAAGCTTTGTGCAGTTACTACAACCTTTGGACTTGGATTGCAACCATGGCATCCAAGTGGAACTGGATGATGCGCGAACACGTCTGGTACATCTCAATCTCAGAGTACGCATCACGTTGCGCCTTTCCGTTATGAAAGAACTTCTCGGCTCGAGGAAAGGCAACTGGTCTTGCTATCTCATCTTGTTCTGGCGGGAGCACAAGAGTCCTCTTTTTGTCGCTGTAGCCGACTCTTTTGACCTTTGAAGGGTCTCGGAAGCCCTCAAGGCCATTTAAACAAATTTGCCATGAAGTAATCTAAGTTTACTTAGCAGAATATCCAGTATAATCGTGCAGTGATACATAGACTGGCGTGCTTGGTCGATCTTTTCGCTGATGCGGTAGATTGACAAGTCGTTTCTTAGACAGTCAGAGTTGGTGCGGCGAGGAGCTCCGCGGAAAATGACGCATCTTCCTGCCGCTCAGCTGCAACCAATGGGCACAAAGCTACACGCGCTGACAGACCGACTCACTAGCCCTTCATAAACTTATGATACTCTCGACTGGATTGCTTTTATCCCGTTGCGTCAGCAAAATACTTCCCTTCATTTATGTTTCAACACACGCCACCTCCCTTGACCCCCCAGCTCTACTACAATAATAGCTCGGATGTATCCGAGTCGGCTGGCCAGCCGGTGCATCCGGATCTTGGTTCTGCAGCCTGGTCCGGACACTAGCCCTATTCAAATCGAACTTCAGGAAGCAAGTATCGATGACCTCCCAACGTTCGAGGCGCTGTCATATGTCTGGGGAGACCCATCAGAGCGGCGACAGATCGACTGCTCTGGACAACTTGTCTCGATTACCCAGAACCTTCACGATGCTCTGCAACACCTACGGCATCCAGACCGAGAGTTGTTGATATGGGCAGATGCTCTGTGCATCAATCAAGAGGATATGGACGAGAGAGCAGACCAAGTACAACTCATGAGAGACATTTACTCGCGTGCTGAGAGGGTAGTGGTATGGCTAGGCCTGGACAACGAAGGCCGGGCCCCCCGTGCGATGTCTTTGATCGAGACGATTCATCAAGCTTGCGAAGATCACGCATTAGCTAAGAACATCGATCTTGTGACCATGGCTCACTTTACGCCGGCGACACAAGCGCTAGAAGGACTCGCAGGGATCTCTATCGAGAATGTTGCTGCGGCTGGGATGCGTTTGAGTAAACCAGAGCCGAAGGCAGAAGACTGGGAAGCGCTGGGGTGGCTGCTGTCTCGACCTTGGTTCACGCGAGTTTGGTGCGTGCAAGAAATCGTTCTCGCCCGATCTTCCAGAGTTTACGTCGGCTCTGTATCCTTAGACTGGGTCAAGCTGGGAGTCACGGCTGCCTGGTTAAGCGAGCAGCATCTTGCAAATGACTACGATGTGCCGGCTGAGATCGAAAATATGCCATTTGACAATGCGCATGCCATGTTCGACACAAGCGATATACCAGAATCAACTTTCTTGGAAATTCTCATTGCTTTTCGAGATCACCATGCCACAAACTTGAGGGACAAGGTCTATGGGCTGTTGGGGCTCATGCGCCCAAAAGACCTCGAGCTTTTCCCGAGTGTTGACTACCGAAAAAGTGTGGCAGAGGTTTACGCCGACGTTGTCATTACTGCTGTCACAGACAGTAAAATATTGGCTTCTTTGTGCTATGTCCAACATGAAGTCGAGTACAAACAAACCGATGTTCCTTCATGGGTACCAAGATGGGATATGAGTGGCGACGTGTCATCTATTCTCGATAGCCGATCCCTGACAGCCTGGAAAGAGGGCGACAAGCATGGTCTCCCGGAACTGACAGATTTCAACCCATCATCAGATGGCAAGTTAGCCGTAGCTGGTGTCAGATTCGACACCATTGCTTGGATAACCCGCGCTCTGGACGTTCAAGACTTCAAGGAAAGATCCACAGGCTCTGCGGTGTCACCTCATCCGATGCTAGATCTATGGCATCGTGCGTCTTCAAACATGTCGTATCCAGAATCTCAATCTGAAGACTCGCTGATGGCCGTGTTGATGATGGCTCTCACTCTGACTGCTGGGGTTACTGTTGGGTATGAGCGTGTGGAAGAGCTCGAATCATCTGACGACCGTGAGCAGTTTCATGCAGACTACCTGACATACGTACACAACTTACTTGAGGTTTCTGGCCTAGAGTCTCCAACTTTCGAGCCTCTCAATATCGCATTGAGTGACGGGAACGCCTCGCGATTCAGAGTCGCAGCGTCCCGCGCTTGCGACCAGCGATGTGTCTTTGAGACAGCAAAGGGGTTCTATGGACTAGCACCAGCCTGCGCAAGAGAAGGAGATGTGGTTGTGATGTTGCACGGTGGCCCGATCCCGTTCGTTCTTAGAGAAGTTAACAACGGGTGGTGGCTACTGGGCGACTGTTTCATCGATCCGCTCATGCCCGAGGCTGCTGACGATACGATCAGAGCTCGGTTCGGCGAGGAGGAAGTCTTTCTGCTTGTCTAGATACGACTTGAAACGTGTGGAGCATTATGTCAGTACATCGTAGTTCAAAGACCTCAAATATTCATTTCGGTTCCCAATATCCTGAACCCCGTCTATTCAGTAAGTTCCCCTCAATCGAGAACTACCGAGGTGGACCTCGCTTTGCCGTGCCCCTGGCCTGCGTAGCTTGCCCCAACGAGTTACACACAAGTGATTACATCATTTTTTGGCATGAAATGCTCTATGTGAAGAAACTTGTTGGTCGCCACGATCTTGAACCACGCATATTGGCCGATGCCATGACTTTTATTTCCGGGTCGGGGCTGAAGGATCTTTGGAAAGCGGAGTTACTCACATAAAGTCGGGGAAGTCCCAACGGACCCCTCAAAAACGCTCTTAGAGAATCCTTCTCCAGGAAGACGGATCAAACTTTGGACATTGTTTGATTGACACGAAGCAAACGAAACTCTTCAGAATGCACTCCATGTCAGAACCTCCGGAAATCATCACCCCGCAGGACCAGGCGGGGTCCACTGGGTACCAAGAAAGCTGGAGCTTTCTGGACGATGTGAAGGTTAGTCATCGCCTTGTAGTGGCCATTCAAGCCAGTAATGTGAACGGTATTGGTTTTCCTGACCGACAATTCAGCGACGCTTCGAGGCAACTCAGCCGGAGGTTTATGCGGCCTTCATCAAGGCTCTGAGTAGCTTCTACACTTCAACACAGAACCCAACCGGAAACTCTGAGGCGGTGCTCTTTGAGACCCACGAGACAGTAAAGGCGTTGCTGCAAGGGCATGATGACTTATTAGAAAGATTCGAGAGCAGTCTTCCCCAAGATTATCTTTACCGAAGGCATGAAGCAGCGGCAACGAGGCAAAGCTAGTACCCTGTAAAGACAGTCTTTACATTATACATGCAGTCTCTTATCTCACATCAAGCCACATCGGAGGAGCGTCATATGACAAGATAGACTCGGCTCATCTGTGTTTGCATGAGCCCGGGCCAACGGAAGGGCTCGGTTCACAAGCATCTTGGTGTCTGATTCTGAGCTTATCCGGTTCATGAAGCGTCCATTGCCCTTTTCCGTGTTGAATGCCTTGTTCGCGCAACGCTTATTTCTTATCCCAATGTCCGAAGTTTGACATACCCAACATCTTCCTGGAAGCTTTACCCAACATGCGGAGATCCTCCGCCATTCCCACATCCAAAATCACCCAACCAACTGTGACTCGCCAATGCCGCTTTCCCCACAGCTGCCAATTGCTCTTGGCGCACTTCCCCTCTTTCTGAACAAAAGTAGAGTCTCAATCCTACCGCCAGCTTGTGAGACATTACTGCCGGCTGTTTCTCACTTTTTCCAGAATGGGCCTAGGAAGATCCCTGAGAACCCTGGTTGTTCTTGCCCATCAGCAACGCTTTTTTGCATTTCACGTACGGGGTTTTATAATGCCATCCAACTATAGGCCATGTTGTCAACCCCAGACTTTTGCAACTCCAGTCTGGGGTGGCGGGGTGACTCGATCATGTGGGGATGAAGAGCCAAGGTTTCTTGATATTGACACGCCTTGAGAAGCCATTTACCGTATATGTCAGCCAGAACAGATGTACCTCTCCAGATACCGAGACCTTCCAGTGTGATGTTTCGGATGCTACATCATGCCGGCTTTTTAAAGAAATCCTATACTTTTTGTCCGCCGTGTCTTTATATAGATCAGTCAGTGACCCTCACGGATCCGGAACCGTCCGTCCCAAACGATCATTGTTCAACTCTTAGCATTATCTCTCATTTGATCCCTTGTATAGGTCTGGAAGAATTGCTCAGTCATTATGGCCTTAAAAGGCGAATCTGAGGTGCGCCATCTACGTAAGGCAGCTGAAAATGAAGTCGAAGAAAAGCTTGGTCAGTCGGCCATTCACGAAGCCAAGCAAGCTTCAGACGATGAACATGCGCAGACCCTTCGGCAGGCACTCAGCGAGAACCGTAAGGCGGTGTTTTGGTCTGTTATGATATCCATGTCCATTGTGATGGAAGGGTGAGTAATTTCTGTTTTGGGTCTTCGGAAAACCCGAGATACTTGCTCAACGTTGATTGCTTTCAGATACGACGTCATCCTAATCAACAACTTCTTTGCCTATCCAGAGTTCCAAAAGAAATATGGCAGTTGGTATGGCGAGGAAATTGGCTATCAGGTCTCTGGACCGTGGCAAACAGGTCTAACTATGGCTTCCACGGTCGGTGCCATCTTTGGTTCGTGCTTCCGATCTGTTGGCCAACCCCCCAACTGGAGACTGACACCGGCCAGGCGGGTTGATGAATGGATACTTCGCATCCAAATATGGCTATCGATGGGTCATGATCGGCGCCATGTTCTTCTTGAACTGCTTCATCTTTGTGGTATTCTTTGCGCACTCTGCCGCCATGCTTCTAGTTGGGCAAATTCTTTGCGGCCTTTCCTGGGGTGTTTTTGTAACGCTAAGTCTAGCTTATGGTAATTCTCATCACTTATATTTAAAACCTTCTTAACTACTATTAGTATCCCTATTATAGGGTAGTTAGTTCGAACCGTGGGTTAACGAAGAGATTAATTAAACTATATAAATATTTACGTAAGTATAAAAAGGAGGTTCTAACCGTAGGTTAAGCTAGTTATAATAATTATAAATAGGGCCCCTAATTAGCCCCTACGTAGTTAGCTATATGCTATGGTTAAATTAAACTTTTAATTTAATACTAACTTTCTCTTTTTTTTATTAATTTATTTACTATAATTAGAAGTATAATTCGACCTTAGGCCCGTTTATTAAGTCGTTTCCTTTTTTTTCTTTTTTTTACTTTTTTTATATAACTTATCCCTCTATTTATATATTAACTTTTTTATTACTTACGAATTATTTTAGCCCCTTATTAAGTACTACTTTTATAAAAACGTTAGCGAGGTTATTATTATTATTAATCTAACGGATCTTAAAGATCTTGCGCTTTTTATATAATTACCTAAGGGCTATAATATTAATTATAAGCCTCTTTTCCTTCGTTATTCCTAATTTAATAAGGTATTTATATAATAAATAAGAATTAGTATAAATAACTATTAGGATTAATAAAAAGTTAAGTTAATTAGTAATCTTCTTTAGCGTCGTTAAAATTACGTATACGAGGTTAATATTATTAACTATATTATAGATTTCTAACGCTAATATACTTCTTATTACTCACTTACTTTTAGTTAACGAATAGTAGACTATATTACTATATATAATAAATTCGCTCTTACTTATACTCTCGTTAGCTAGGATAATAATATACCCTAATTACGAAATAAAGTCGTCGTTATTTGTAAATAACTTATTAATAAAGACGTAGAGCTTACTAATAACAAGGTTAATTAGGTAATAAATAAGGCCTCGATTAAAATTTATTTATTACTACTTAAGCCGCTTATTAAGTACTTTGACGTCTTATTTATTTAGCTCTATAGCTTATATTATTTTAGTATAGTTAAAAATTACCTCGGGTTAGTATATATTTATAATATATACCCCTCGCGCGAGCTTAGCCTTATATTACTTTTTAATATCGATTACGTTCAGGTTAACGAGGGTAATTTTCTTACCCTACCCCTTTTATTAAAAAATAACGGTTTCCCTTTTAATTATAAGAATCCTACTATTAAACGCTAATAAGTTATTCGTTATAAGGACCTTTTTTAGCTTTATTAAGAAGCCCGCTTTTTAAAGCTCCTTATCCTCTTTTTTTATAAAGTTAATATCAAATAGGCCTAATATATTATCGGTTTATATTCTAATAATTTTAAATTATTCGCTTTTATACTTAGAGATTAATAAGTACGGGTCGTACGTAGATATAATTATTAATAATCGATTAATATAAAAATCGTAGTATATAGCTTACTAATAGGTACTTAATTTAGTAAGCTTATATAGTAGTTTAAGTACTTTAATAATCGTACTTTTTAAGTACTTACTAGCTATTTTTTTTAATAAGTAGGCTAGGATTTTCTTTATAAGCCCTGTGGCTAATTAAGTATAGGCCTAAGTAATATTACGGCTCTAAATCTCGTATCCCTTTTTCCGTAACGATATTATTAATACTATTATTAGTTATTAGCTATAGCGCTATATTATAGGCGATTAGGTAAGTAACGTTACTTTTTTAACGTTATTATACTTTTAAATTATATACTTAGATTTTTTATACGGTTGGGGTATTCCTTTTTTTTTAATTTTATATATTATTTACGATTTAAATATATAGAGATTTTTATATTTCTCGGGGTTATAGAGGATAAATTAATAGACCCTTTAATTACGTAGAGTGTTTATTTTAATAAGATCTGATCCTTTATATAGCTTTTTAGTAATTGTGATAATGCCTTTTTTACGTAGTTTAATTACTAGCTCGAAATTAGCTTTTTTTTTTACTATATAAAAGGTGTTAATTACTTCGTTATTAGTAATAAATTGCCGCGTTAGGGCTTACCGTCGTAGTTTTCTATAACGTCTCGCCGGTAATATTAGTACCTTTTTAATAATTTCCTTTTCCTCGTCGTTTATTAGTACTATTATAACGATTTTGTTAAGGATAATTTCCTATGTCTTTACTATAGGTTATATAGTTTCCCCTAGCTCTTTTTCTTTTTATAGGCTAGAAATTACCTTAATAAGATTTATATAATATAATCTAACTATAGTAATTAATACTTCGAGTAGTTAGTTACGATCTTTTATAACTACGTAAAAGCGCTCGTTAATAGAAATTAATTTATATAGCCTAGCTTATTACTAAGTAATTTTATACTAAACTTATATATTTAAATTTAGGGGTATATTTAAATTAGCCCCTATATTAGGCCTATTATATATAATAATTACCTCGTTAACTTACTTTTTTATATTTATTTTGCGTAGTGCCCGTATTATTTTTTTAATTACTTGGGCTCGTTAGCTTACGTTTAGTAACGGTAGCGAGGCTAAAGTCGTCCTTAAGTATGCTCTAAATATTAATAATATTAGTATAAGACCGTTAGGTTTTATAATATTATTATAGTATTTAAGTACCGTTTAGAGGTATTCGTTATTAGTAAAATTAGGATTTTTTTTTTTAATAATCTTAAACGCCCTTTTTAGCTATTAGTATGCCCTTTTTACTTTTTTAATACTATAGTACGCTTCTACGAGTACGATTTTTAGCTATATACTATAGGCTATTGTATTTTTCCTAAATTTTATTAACTTAAAACTCGTTTTAGCGTCGGTTTTAATACTATCTAGCGGTCCTTAGTATATATTAATCTAGCTTTTTCGTAGAGCTACTTATACTATCTTTACTTATAAATCCCAGAGGAATTACCCTACTTAAAATAATATAGCCTCGTCGATTATATATAGGACCGGTCGACTATTTAAATAGAAGATATTAATAACGATTTTTTAATTAAAGTTAATCTTATTACGCAATTTAAATTTAAATCTGCGTAGGCTCTGCGTATTTATTTAGTATTAATAATATACTTTTATTAACTACTCTAGCGCCCCTATTTTAATATCCTTATTACTTAATTATTTTAAGAGGTTATATAGCCTTATAACTAATAGGTACCCGAATTTCTAGTATAGTCGTTTAAACTTATTTTTTATTAAGTAATTAATTAACTTTATGTTATTAATAAGCTTTATAAACGCGTACCCCTATTATCGTTTAACTATTTTAAAGTACTTATTACTAGAGATTTTATTCTTCGTATTATTAAATATAATACCTAGTTAATCTATGTTTTTTAGATATAAGAGAAACGGGGTATTAATAAGTAGAATATAGAAAGTTATTATTTTAAAGTGCGTTTTTATTTCTACCGTACTTAGGGCGACGATTTTCTTACCTAGGCCGAAGCTAATTTTTATAATACCTACTATTAACGTATTAAGCATTACTAATACGATTTTTTATAGCGCTTAGAATTACCCCTTTCTTCTTATTAATTATTATAATACCCTAGTATTTAGGATAATCCTATAGAAATTATCTAGGCCGTACCTTTTATTCGCATAGAATACTTATACGAGCTTAGTATTTAAATAATCTAAGTAATATAAAAAAGACCCCTCTAGCTACTCTTAGAATTACTTAGTACTATCTTTCTTTTTTAATATTAATAAAAGTAGTATTTTTTCTTTAAGTATTAAGAGAATAGAATTCTATATTATTAAATTCGTCCTTTTATCTACTTTTATATCCGTTATCTAAGGGACCTTCCCTTACTATTTATAAATAAAAGCCTATTTATTAAGAGCTTTTATTACTTTTTATTTATTTAGCCTCGTATATCCTCTAAAAGCTAACGGTACGAAGAATAAGTAGTTAATATTATTAATTTTATTATAATCTAATTTGTTAGTATAATGTTACGATTTAATATACATAACTAACTTAGAGGCTAACCTACCGGCCGCAATAACTAGGTATACTATATATATAAGTAAAATAAGAATACGGCTACTCCTCGCAGAACAAAAGAACTATAAATAAGTTACGTACTAATAAAATAAGGATTATTTTAAATTAGAATAATTTAATATAACTTAGGGGTTAAATAATTATTTTAGATTAGAATAATCGAGGACGACTTAAGAGATAAAGGATATATTTAGGGACGAGATTTATATATAATATAGACTTAAGCTAGGCTTAAGGATAGACTTCTTATAGCTTCTTTAATAATTAACTTAGTATTAGATTTTATAATTATTTTTAGTTATTTTTATTAAGAACCCCTTTTGATAAGACTATAATTAATTACCGAAGCCTTACCTATTTTACGACTTATAAATATAGCTTTAGAGAAGCTATTTATAATTATAATACTATTTACTTAGTACTCGTAGCTTTAATTTTTATTAATATACTTATTATAACTAGCTAGCTATAATATTTTGATTACTCTTATTTAGTAAGTTAATTTTATAAAACTTACTAAGTAGTAAAACGAACGACGATATTTTTTAAGACCTTAAGTACCCCTTTATCTAACTCTAAGCGACCTATCAACTTAGTTAGTAAGCTAACTAGGGTTAAGGATAATAAAATATTTAATATTATTTATAACTCTAATAGTAATATAGTTTTTAAAAAAGTAAATTATAAAAAAATATAACGTATTATTAAAAAAAGTAATAAGCGGAATAAAAAACTTACGGAACTTTTTAATAATAATTCTATTTAGATAGCCGTAACCCTAACTAAGAATAACGAAAATATTACCGCTCTTTAAAATATAATTAATAAAGTTATAACTAACTTAGGAATTAAAAAAAGAGAAGTAAACGACTTAGAATAAAAAGTTAGAACCCTCTAAGCCGCTACTAATATTATTAAGATTTTTATAGATAAATAAGAAAAACTTAAGTTTAATATACTTATTATTTTTAATAGAATTACTAGGCATTTTAAAGGATTTTTAATTTAGATTAGAACTTATTAAACGTTCTATGCTACTAATTTCCGTAATAAGACTAAACAAGTTATTTATATAGTAACCTTTTTTAAGAAACGAGCCTTAGAGTAGTTCGAACCTTTTTAAAAAGAATTCTTTAATAATAACGGTTATTTACTATACTATAAAGAAGAAACTACGAATATTTTTAATAATATAGTAGGATTTTAGAATACCCTCAAATCCCTATTTTAAGACCTTAATAAAAAGTAATAAGCTAAGAAAAACTTAACTAACTTTTAATAAACTAAGTCTACTTCGTACTACGCTACTAAGTTTAGGAAATTTATAATACGACTCGATTTTACTAAGGAAACCCGTATTTTTTCGTTTTATTAAAGACTAAAAGATAAAGTTAAGGACGAATTTAGTAAAATAGAAATATTAATAGAATTCTTATAGTATATCGAGCTCGCTATTAAGATCAATATTTAATTATATAAACGACGTAAGGAAAAGGGAGAGGTACGACGCCCTTAAGCTAACTCTAATAAAAGATATTAGAATTATAGTAAATTACTAAGTAATTATTAAAATAACCTAAGAAACTAGTAATAATAAAGTACGTTTTATAAATAATACGGAAGACTTATAAACTTTAGTATTACTAAACGTAAAGAACTATAGCGAAAAAAGGACTTTAAATACTATAACTACAATAAGCTAGGATATATAACTAGAGATTACTAATAACTTAAGCGTATTTAATACTAGCCTATTCTAGAAAAACGAGCTAATATTATAAGTAAGGAAGTCCCTTATAAATAACTTTTATAAATAGTTTACTATAATAATAGCTACCTTACTTATTAAAATAGTAAGGAATAAATAAGATAGTACTTAAAATAACTAAAGAATATAAAACGATCCGGATATAATACTATATTATTTTTTATTAAAACCCTAGTAGTAGTAATAAAAGAAAAAAAGATACCCGCTTATTAACTTTATACTCTTAAAAAGAATAATATCGAATATATTATTATACTCTCTTAGATTTATAAGAATATAAAGAAGAGAGCTAAAATAGACCCCGTTATAAAGGATATATTTTACTTTTTTAAAGGATAAATTAAGTAAAAATTCTTAACTAGTATAAAGGAGTAACTCTTTAAATTCGAAAAAAGAGGACCTAATATTAAAGAAATTATAAGTAGCCTTGTTTATATAGTACGATAAAACTATATAAACTAAAAATAATTTACTAAGTTTAAAAAAGGACTTAAATTAAGTAAGATCCTAATTAAGTCTATTTATATAATACGAAAAGTAGACGGTAATAAAAAATTTATTTATAAAGTTAAGGAATAGCTCGAAGACTTTTTATATAAAGATAAGATTAAAGTACTTAAGAGACCGACTTTTAATTTCGGAATTATGAAGAAAAGAAAAATTAACTTTAACCTTAGGGAAGAAGAAAATATTAATATAGGAACTAGTTCTTTTTATTTTAATAAAATAGAATTATTTTATAATTCGGACGAACCTCGTAACGTTACTTAATAACGTACTTAGATAGAAATTGATTATAAAGTACTACTTAGTATTAATAATACTAATTCTAAAGAAGATAATGACGAACTACGGTATAAATATATTTATTTATTTAAGGATAACTAAACTATTTAGCTCTATAAAACTAAAGAACGTAAGAAGGTTATAATAACCTCTTATATAGATAAAGATTATTTTTTGCTCAATCCCGAAAACCCCTTTTATTAGGAATTATTTTAGGTAGAATACTTAGATAATAAATACTTTTAGTACTTCGTATATAAATAAAATAGCCGTTTTTATTTACGAAAATATAATAATAAACTTATTAAGGATATTTATATAGAAGACTAACTACTTAGCTAGACGTTGCTAAGTTTTAATAATAATAATAAGGTAATATTCGGTCTAGACCCTAGCTTTTTTATAAAATACTTTAATAGTGAGTATATAGAATAGGAAGATTATAAATATAACTAATATTAAGTTTATTATATCGGAAAGGCTAAGGTATAGAGGGAATAATAGGAACTATATAAGTAAGGTACTTAATAAAAGAAGCGTATATTAAAAAATTAAGAAAGCTAATTACGAAGGAACGACGAGAGGCGAGAATAAAAAAAAAGTTCTTATATATAACTAAATAATATAATAACGTATATTTATAAATTAACTTCGATATTTATAGACGAGGACTAAACGCTATTATTAATAGTAGTATATAAGAAACCTATATTTTATTAAGAATAGTAAATAAACTTAACTTATTATAAGTATAAAAGGATAACTTATATTAACTATAAACGGTAGAAAGAGAACGAGTTAATTATAACTACGGATATATTAATTAGGAAACCGTATATCTTTTAATATATATTAATAATTAATAAAAATAATTATAATATAATATTATAGAGATCGGAAATATCGATATTATCTTAAGAATCTCGTAGTTACGAAAGTATAACTTACGGATAGATTAAATTACTAACTAGGTTTTCTAAAAAAGTTTAGTTACTAAACGACTTAAAAAGAAAAAGGGTTTAAATAGATTTTTAGTAGCTCTTAAAAAACGAGAATAAATACGATATATAATTTTTATTAAAATAGTAAAAAGTTCTAAGAAGTTCGTAACTGGTACTAATAATTGAAGATCGTAACGACTCTAAACTATACCCGAAGAGTACTAGATATATACGAAATTATTTATAAAACCCGAAGAAATAGGATTACTAAAACATAGTAATTAGGATATAAAAATCGAATTTAAAAAAGGAACATAACCTAGGTTCTATTTAATATACTTAATAAATTAAGAAGAATAAGAGTATTTTAATAAATATATCGATAAGAAACTTGAGAAGGGATATATTTAACTATTAAACTCTCCCGTAGGATTCCCCTTATTCTTTATACTAAAAAAGGGCGGAAAATTAAGACTTATTATTAACTATAGGAAACTTAATGAAATTATAAAAAAGAATTGCTACCCCTTACTGTTTATTATTAAGTTTAGAGATTTATTTTACGGAGCTAACTAGTTTATTACTATAAATCTTAAGGAAGTATTTAACTAAATTTAAATTAAAAAAAGAGACGAATAGAAAACGGTATTTCGAACTCGTAGAGGACTTTTTAAGTACCTCGTTATACCCTTTAGACTTATTAATACTCTAATAACTTTTTAAATAATAGTTAATTACGTACTCTAAGAATACGTCGATATTTTTATTATTATTTATATTAATAACGTTCTTATTTTCTCTTCTAATTTCGAAATATATAAAAAATATATTTATATAGTATTTTAGAAGCTCTAAGATACTAAACTATATACTAAGCCCTCTAAGTACGAGTTTTACGTATAAAAAGTAAACTTCTTTAGATATATTATTATATTAGGATAAATCTATATATAAGTATTAAAAGTAGAGGTAATTAGGG